TATTCTAGGAAATACTGGGCAATTAGAATAACATGTGCATCATATAGGAAAATCCCTCAAAGAAATGGAAGAAAAAACAAACCAAAAAATGCAAGAAATGGAAGAAAAACAAACCAAAAAATGCAAGAATTGTAAGAAAAAGCAAACCAAAAAAGGCAGGAAATGGAAGAAGAAATGAAGCAAAAAATGCAAGAAATGGAAGAAAAAAACAAAGCAAAAAATGCAAGAATTGGAAGAAGAAGCATACCAAAAAAGGCAGGAAATGGAAGAAGAAACAAAGCAAAAAATGCAAGAAATGGTAGAAAAAACAAAGCAAAAAATGAAAAAAATGGAAGAAGAAAAAAAACAAAAAAGTCAGGATATGGAAGAAGAAACAAAGTACAAAATGCGAGAAATGGAACAAAAAGCAAACCAAAAAATGCAAGAAATGGAAGAAAGATCAAACCAAAAAATTCACAAAAGGCAACAAACAGACGAAAAGATAAACAGAAAATTGCAAGAAGCAATGCAAACACTGCAAGGGTGGAAAACTGAAATAGAGACATTAAAAAAAAACACAATCTGAAGAAAGGCAGAAAATAGAAAAGCTGGACAAACAGTCAGGCACTACCAATACAAGCATTACCAACAGAATAGAAGAGATGGAAGAGAGAGTCTCAAGTGTTGAAGATACACTAGGAGAAATGGATTTATCAACCAAAGAAAACTTTAAATCCAACAAATCCTTAACACAAAACATCCAGGAAATATGGGACACCATGAAAAGACCAAACCTAAGAATAATAGGTATAGAAGAAGGAGAAGAAATCCACCTCAAAGGGGCAGAAGGCATGTTCAACAAAATCATAGAAGAAAACTTTCTCAACCTTAAGAAAGACATGCCAATGAAGGTACAAGAAGCCTACAGAACACCAAATAGAGTGGACCACAAAAAAAATTCCCTCGCCACATAATAATCAAGACCCCAAACATATAGAATAAAGAAAGAATATTAAGAGCAGCTAAGGAAAAAGGTCAAGTAACATATAAAGGCAGACCTATCAGAATTACACCTGATTTCTCAATGGAAACAATGAAAGCCAGAAGGTCCTGGATAGATATTCTACCTACACTAAGAGACCATGAATGTCAGCCCAGACTACTATACCCAGCAAAGCTCTCAATCACTATAGACAGAGAAAACAAGATATTCCATGACAAAACTAGATTCAAGCAATATGTGTCCACTAGCCAGCCCTACAGAAAATTTTGGAAGGAAAACTACAACCCAAGGAAGCTAACTACAACCAGAAAAATATAAGCATTAGAGAATCCCTCTCTACCAACAGCCAAAGGAACAAAGGGGTGAAATTCTACATATAATTCCACCAACAACAACCATCACAATTCGAAGAAGGATGAGCAATCAATGGTCAATAATATCCCTCAATATAAAAAGACACAGAATAGCAGAATGGATTCGAACACAGAACCCTTCCTTCTGCTGCATACAAGAAACACACCTCACCCTCAAAGACAGACATTATCTGAGAGTTAAAGGTTGGGAAAAAATTTTTCAATCAAATGGACCCAAGAAACAAGCAGGGGTAGCATTCCTAATATCTAACAAACTAGACTTTAAAATAAAATCAATCAAAAGAGATGAAGGAGGTCATTACATACTAATCACAGGTGAAACGCACCAAGATGAAGTGTCTATCCTGAACATCTATGCCCCAAATACAAAGGCATCCACATTCGTTAAAGAAACATTATTAGAACTTAAATCTCATCTAAAGCCCCACACAGTTATAGTGGGAGATTTGAACACACCACTCTCACCACTAGACAGGAATACCAGAAAGAAACTCAACAAAAAAGCAAAGGGTCTAATAGAAGCAATGACCCAACTGGGATTAACAGATATCTATAGAACATTTCATCCACATAAAAAAGAATATACCTTCTTCTCAACACCACATGGAACCTTCTCAAAAATCGACCACATACTTGGTAACATATCAAACCTCAGCAGCTACAAAAAAATTGGAATAACTCCATGCATCTTATCAGACCACCATGCTTTAAAATTAGAATTCAACAACAACACAAATTGCAGAAAACCTACAAACTCATGGAAATTGAATAAAGCTCAACTGCACCATCCCTGGGTCAAAGAGCAAATAAAAAAAGAAATTAAAGACTTCCTCGAATTCAATGAGAATGAAGACACAACATACCCAAACCTATGGGACACTTTGAAAGCAGTGCTACGGAGGAAGTTCATAGCACTAAGTGCTCACATGAAGAAACAGGAGAACAGTTATACCAGAGAATTAACATCACAGCTGAAAGCTCTAGAACACAAAGAAGCAAACTCCCCCAGGAGGAGTAGATGCCAGGAAATAATCAAATCGAGGGCTGAAATCAATAAAGTAGAAACAAGGAAAACAATACAAAAATCAATGCAACGAAGAGTTGGTTCTTTGAGAAAATCAACAAGATAGACTTACCAAAAGCAGAGAGTGAACACACAAATTTAAAAAATCAGAAATGAAAAGGGGGACATATCAACAGACTCTGAGGAAATCCAGAGAATCATTAGGTCATACTTTGAAAACCTGTACTCCACAAAATTCGAAAATTTAAAGGAAATGGATGACTTCCTGGACAGCTATCATTTGCCAAATCTAAATCAATAACAGATAAGCAATTTAAATAGACCTATAACCCCTATGGAAATAGAAGCTGTCATCAAAAGTCTCCCAACCAAAAATAGTCCAGGCCCAGATGGCCTCAGTGCAGAATTCTACCATAAATTCAAAGAACAGCTTATACCAATTCTTCTCAAAGTGTACCACACAATAGAAGCAGAAGGATCTTTGCCAAACACTTTCTTTGAGGCTTCAATAACCTTGATCCCCAAGCCACTCAAAGATACAACTAAGAAAGAGAACTTCAGACCAATATCCCTCATGAAGATTGATGCAATAATACTCAATAAAATACTGGCAAATCGGATCCATGATACTTGGAGAGATCTGGGATAACAGGGACATACTTAAACATAATAAAAGCTATATACAGTAATCCAACAGCCAACATCAAACTAAATGGACAGAAACTCAACGCAATTCCTCTAAAATCAGGAACAAAACAAGGCTGTCCACTCTCTCCATACCTTTTCAACATGGTACTTGAAGTTCTAGCTATTGCCATATGACAACAAAGGGGGATCAAGTGGATACAAATTGGGAAGGAAGAGGTCAAACCTTCACTGTTTGCAGACGATATGATAGTTTACATCAATGACCCAAAGAACTCTACCAGGGAACTCTTACAGCTGATTAACACCTTCAGCAAAGTGGCAGGCTACAAGATCAACTCAAGAAAATCAGTAGCCCTACTATATACCGATGATAAAAGGGCTGAAAGAGAAATCAGAGAAACATCACCCTTTACAATTGCCACAAACAACATAAAATTCCTTGGGGTAACGCTAACCAAAAAAGTGAAAGACCTGTATCGTAATAACTTTGAATCTTTAAAGAAAGATATTAAAGAAGCCCTCAAAAAATGGAAAGATCTCCCATGCTCTTGGATAGGTAGGATCAATGTAGTAAAAATGGCAATCCTGCCAAAAGCAATCTACAGATTCAATGCAATCCCCATTAAAATCCCAGCACAGTTCTTCACAGACCTTGAAAGAACAATAATCAATTTTGTATGGAAAAACAAAAGACCCAGGATAGCCAAAACAACCCTGTTCAACAAGGCAACGTCCGGAGGCATCACCATCCCTGACCTCAAGCTCTATTACAGAGCTATAGTCCTGAAAACATCTTGGTATTGGCACAAAAATAGACAGGTAGACCAATGGAATCGAATTGAAAACCCGGGTATTAACCCACACACGTACGGACATCTGATCTTTGACAAAGAAGCTAAAAATATACAATGGAATAAAGAAAGCATCTTCAACAAATGGTGCTGGCATAAGTGGAGACTGGTATGTAGAAGAATGTGGATCGATCCATGTTTATCGCCATGCACAAAACTTAAGTCCAAATCGATCAAAGACCTCAATATAAATCCAGCCACACTGAACCTCTTAGAAGAGAATGTGGATGTTACCCTTGAACGAATTGATATAGGACTCAGCTTCCTGAACATAACACCAGTAGCACAGACAGTGAGATCAACAATTAATAAATGGGACATACTGAAACTGAGAAGCTTCTCTAAGGCAAAAGACACAGTCAGCAAGAAAAAACGGCAGCCCACAGAATGGGAAAAATATTCACTAATCCCACATCTGACAGAAGGTTAATCTCCAAAATTTACAAAGAACTCAAGAAGCAAGTCTCCAAAACACCAAAGGACCCTATTAAAAAGTGGGCTGCAGAACTAAATAGAGAGTTTTCAATAGAGGAGTCTAAAATAGCTAAGAGGCACTTGAGAAAGTGCTCAACATCCTTAGCCATCCGGGAAATGCAAATCAAAACAACTCTGAGATACCATCTCACTCCTGTCAGAATGGCTAAAATAAAAAACACCAATGACAATTTATGCTGGAGAGGATGTGGTGAAAGGAGGACACTCCTCCATTGCTGGGGGGAGTGCCAACTGGTTCAGCCACTTTGGAAATCAGTATGGAGATTCCTCAGAAAAATGGGAATAAACCTACCACAAGACCCAGCAACTCCACTCTTAGGCATATATCCAAAAGATGCCCATTCATACAACAAAGCTGTCTGTTCCACTATGTTCATAGCAGCTTTATTTGTAATAGCCAGAACTTGGAAGCAACCTAGATGTCCCTCACCCAAAGAGTGGATAGAGAAAATGTTGTACATCTACACAATGGAGTGCTATTCAGCAGAAAAAAATGGAATGATGAGATTCCATTCCTCACTCTCCCTGGGGGAATGAGGGGATAAGGGGGGGATTGGGGGGAGGGCACGGGAGGAGGGGAGGGAATGGGAGAGTGACCTGGAACTGACTTGTGAAGCAACCTCATTTCTTATCTAAATTTAAACTGGAAAATAAAATAGAAAAAAGTGATGAAAAAATATATGTATATCAATTCTGTATACTTCCTTCAGGCATATATTATTTCTTGTTTATATTCATCTATTTCCTGGACACACCCTTGAGTTTTCCTGTCTTGGTCAATCTACCTGTCAACACATCTAATTTTAATTATTTTAATATTATAAGGTAACAAGGACATTCATAATAACTTTATGTAACCATGATTTTTGTAATTATTTAGGCATAGATAAGCAAGAAATGGGTGAATTCTAAAGGACCAGACACATAAAGTGAAACATTATTTACCAGAAGCTAACACAAATTTCAGTTTTTCATATTATGATTTCAGTAATTTAGAAGAAAATTGACCAGCTACTTGCAAACTCTGTTCTGTCTGAATATGTATCATAATGGTGGAAATATTTTAAAAGTTTCTGATTGAGAATAGATCTTAGTATAAACTGAACTGGGTACTGGCTTGTAACACTGAAAATGCTGATGTCAAATATATTTCATCACATATTCTTCAGTACTTGTTAGGATATCACAAATAAAAAGGCTTATGTGATAACTGATTCTTCTTTTCAGATGATGTCACATTAATATACCATGACTTTAACATGGTTGTTTTTAATCCACCAACATTATTGTTCACTGATTTTCATTCACAATTTTGAGATACTTTTTCCCATCTACTTATATAATTCTCTTTAATATACTCAAGTTAATCATGCTGTTATGTGAAGTTCCTGCAATATAAAAATGTTAATATTTTACATAATCTATCAGATATACATGTGAGGTAATAAAGCCAAAATGTACACTCAGTTTTATATTCAAAATTATAGAAAAGTAACTATTAATATGTGTTTTAAATTGGTTTCAGTGTTTGAGTGATGTAGTGGATTAATGGGATGAAGAGATCATTTATATTTCAAGTGTGAAGTTTGATTCACCTAATATTTGCTATCCTAATAAATTTCCTTTCAATTCAACAGTCCTGAGGTCTCCAAAATCTGTTTTGTGTATTCCAGCTATGCAGGGTCTCTGAGTACTAGATCCCATGATTTTACAAAGCCAGTACAAAAATTTTTCTTTGGGAAACTCCATAAAGTTCAGGGAATTATGCCAAGGTTTTGCAGACATTTACTACAGGAATCCTGAAAAAGCCTATGTACTGCCTGTCACCGAACATTGAGATTGACTTAGTGTATGGGAGACTTGTGCATAGCCTTCCTTCTTAGATTTTTCTTCTGTATTTAGTTAATTGCAAACACAATCATTGTTCATGAAAATGGTTCAGGTCTGTCTACATCCTTCTCAATCACTTTAACAAATATTACTACTTGTAATGTCAGTCAATAAATAAATGAACAAATTACAATGTAATGAACAATAACACAATGGATATCCCAGTGCAAAGAAAACAGATCGACTCCCCTAGTCCATCTCAGATATTATGGAGGGCATGAATTAAGGATAGCATAATAGTATTCATCCTAAATAAGACTAATGCTTATTTATATTTGTGTATCTATGTGTCTGCTTATCTGCCTGTACAGAACATTTCCAAAGACTGCAGTCCAGGGTCTCACAGCTGCAGACTTGTGTCTTTGCAAGAAATCCAGCCATGTAGAATTTTTGCTTCTTCCATCACTCAGCCACATGCACTGATTATGTCTGTTGATGAAGCTAATAAATAAAACTTAATCAGAATCCTGTCTTGTCATTGTCTAACATATCTCTTGTTCCTGTATGCTCAGTCCCTCACCTAGTGTCCCAGTACATTGACTCCGAGTGCACAGTCCAAATACCTTATCCTCCAGCGAATTACTCTTTGTTTTTCCATGAGACAGAGTTTCTCTGTATTGTTTTGGAGGCTGTCTGTCCAGCCCGGCCTCGAACTCACAGAGATCTTCCTGCCTCAAACTCCTGAGTGCCAGGATTAAAGGCATGTGCCACTACCGCCTGGATCCAGTGAAGTATTTTAATGCAGGTACTGCAGAACTTCAAGTGCCACAAACATTTATTGCAACTATTATGATTATAAAGAAAAAACCGTAATTCAATATTCAGAAATCATCTTGCTGCAGAGGTGACAGAATGAGGTCAATTAAAGCTGTACTTCAAGGAATCAAACAATCCATGATTTTCCTAATTCATAGGCATAGTTAGTTGCCTTTTTCTGAGAAAATAGACAAAGGATCTATTCTGTTTAGAAGCAATTGAGTTTCAGAATATAGCCAGAATGCCTAGAATAAAACATGCAATTCAGACAACATATTCACACTCCTTTCTCTCTCTGTGGATCTTGTTCATTTAAGATGTGTGGGGAATCTGAACCAATAAGGAGAGTGATCTCAATACCACCAATGAAAGCAAATGCTGAAGAAAGCTTGGAAATATCCTTCAGAGTTGCTGATTCACTTCTCCCTCACAACTAAACCAATGCTGCAGCAGAAACAAAAATACATAAAAAGGATGACATCCTTAGTTTAGTAGAATTAAGCATACATCCAACTGCTTGTATCTATATCTAGGCCCTGCAGATGAAATCCTCAGTCTCTGCCTTCTGATGGCTATTAATGGATTGGTTCTGCCAATTGTATCTGGCTTGTAACGCTTTTGGATATCAGGGCAGATTCCATACATGCAATTATTTGCAGAATCAGACACTTGAAATTCACAGTGTCACAGATGGCAAAGTAAGGTTTCTCCCAAACACAACCATTTCTGCTGTATCGTCTAATGAGGAATATGAGCTGGGTTTCTGTAAGAATTGAGTTATAAGTAAATCATTTACATAAACAGGAGCAGTTATTCCTTGCAGGATTATGGAAAATGACACCAAGCATCTATTCTCTCCTAATTTTTTAACTGCCACTGTCTCCTGAAGGTCTCTGGGTCAGTTTCCCTACTCTTAGGAATTTCACAGTCAAGCTTGGCCTGAATGCAGCTAAGAGCTTGATTTCAATCAAGAGCCTGATTGGATATTAGCCTTCAGTATTGACATATATATTTGCATGCCTCCTATTTGAGGATGTCATGCATTTACAGATGCATTAGCAACAAATCAGGATAGTGATTTCAAAACTGAGGATGTAAAAGATGACGACTGTTCTTACAGATATCCCTCAGAGCTGCTGATTCATCTATGTCTCCCTCCTTGCTCTTTGTGTGAAGGACACAGGGAAGTTGATATAGGAAGAGATGATGAAGTAAATACACTCTTTATTTTCATCTCTATTAAGCAGTACAATTCCCTGTGTAATTGTGACATGTTGCTATGCAAATTTCAAGCAGCTTTGGAAGCAAGTATTGGGTTTTTATTATGAAGTTTGATTTTTGAGTTTTGGAGCCTGTAGGATAATAACCTACAATCCTGACCACTTGTACTCCCCTTATCTCTCTTTGATGAACTTTGTGCATTCATAATGGGCTTGAATGTGAACAAATACGGAGACTGCTATCAATTGCATCAAGGAATTCAAATTCTGAGAAAGGCTTGGAGATCTTCTCCAGAGCTGGGAAAAGGAGAATGACCTGCTATGTGTTGGGTAACTATTTCAAATGCATTTAAATATCTTTAGAGACATACAGTGAAAACTGAAACCCTTATAAGGCAACATGAGTGTTTTGTCACTAAGGGATAATTGAACTCTGAATTGGCTAGCTTCTAGGCAATAGCATGCATATAGTAACATGATGGATCTTGATAGAAAATTTATAAAGTATGTTTTGTTTATTCCCAGCCCCACGGGGTCTCTGTGAGTTGCTGGTCAGCCTACTGTGATGTAAGCCTGTAAACAAGGCTGCTCCATCTTCTAAAAGAGAGACATCTCTTAGCACATGAAATAAATGCACACACACACACACACACACACACACACACACTCTCCTGGCAATAAAGTCAGCCACATACATTCTCTTAGGCAAGTAGCCGTACATCTTGTCTTACATCTTTCTTTCTTTCTTTTCCTAATACATTGGACTTAATGTGTGTGGGTGTGTGTGTGAGTGTGTGTGTGTGTGCAAGTGTATGTGTGTGTGTGTGTGTGTGTAACTATTTCAAATGCATCCAACTACATTTGGAAACTTACAGTGATAACTGAAATCCTGATATTATAATGGAATATAAGAGTTTCATCACTCAGTGATTATTTAAATCTGATTTGGCTAGCTTCTTGGAAATTGCATGTATATAGTGCCATGATTGACCTTCATAGATAATTTCAAAAGTATATTTACACTACAGAATGTGAAGGAAATACATTACTTTTAAGTTCTTACATACCTATGCTATCAGAGAAGACAAACACTTCTGCTTTCACATATATGCTTCACTATGGTAGACTGCTGCAAATAAGACTGACCATTAATAATAAAGAAAATGTGACAAACAGATTCTGCATGCCAAAATGCAGTGAAAATGAAAATTATGAAATCCCAGTTGAACATCTGTGTACATAATGGGGACAGGATTATATGAAGTCAATTTTCTATTCTTTTTTACTGTTGTATCTTTGGATTTATTCTCTATATTTTAAAGCATTGATAAAATTATCACATTCTACTTACATGTGTGTATGCATTCATCAGTGCCATGGTGAGCTGGTGTGATAATAGGAAAACCTGAGGCTCAATTCTCACTTTCCATCTTGCTTGATACAGGGTCTTTTTGTCATTCACTATTGTTAACACCAGGGCTCCTAGCCCAATATCTTCCAGGGATTCTATCTCCATCTACCATGTCATCATAGGCAAAGGGATTCTAGATACACACTACCATGCCTGATTAATGTTGATTATGAAGATGCAAATGTAGGTCCTCACACTTGTACAGTAAGTACAATTTATTCACTGAGACATCTCTCCAGCCCTTCTCAGAGGAACAATTACCCAAGGCGTGGTGTTGTGTACCTGTACTCCCAGCATTTGAAGAATCAGAAGTTGAAAAAGTGTACATATTTACTTTATTCTTCAGGACAAAAGTTACTTACTCCAAGTACAGTACATCACAATTACTTTGATCATCCTTTTAACTACTAACTTCCATATTCTTCAACCTCTTAATACAAAAAGTTGTCTCATAAGTTTATAAAACTACAGATGCTGACTTTCTAACCAAAATATTACATTGTTAGAATTTCACTTTTTCTTCTTCATAGGAACATCTATCTAATATCTGGTTTTTATTAACATTTTAAATTTTGTTTTGGTTTTTGGAGACTGAGTATTCTGTGTAGTCCTGACTGTCCTGTAACACATTCTGTAAACCAGGCTTGCCGTGAACTCAAGTGAGATCTGCCTGTCTCTGCCTCCTAAGGGCTGGGATTAACAGTGTGGACCACCACTGCCAGGCTTGGTTATTTTTTATTTTTTGCTGTTTTTTAAGCAATGAGATAAACATTTTAAGATTTTAGGACAAAATTGTGAATACATTTTCAGTTAGGAACTGACTACATATTCAATGTTAGAGAAATCTCAAATTTACTGAATATAGTTAGAATTTGGATCCAACTGCAATGTTTATGCCACAAAATTCCTTATATATCCTATATAGCAAATATATTAATTTGTATTGTTCCACAAATATATGCCATAAGCTTATTTTGATTTGATCACATTTCATGAACTGGATTTACGGGTATTTTTAAAGTGTTAAGAGTTTCTTTTTGTAATCCAACAACTTTATCCAAAAATGCAGAAAATATTTCTGGCTGGCCAGGAGGATAACATTTCAGTGTTGATAAATCCATTGACTGTAACAGCCCAGGAAGCGTGCTGCAGGTACAATAGAAAAGATGTCCTTCATTGTGCAACTGCTTTGCCAATTCGAATTGATGATTGTTCATTAACTTTTCATTTACATCTACCACAAGAGGCTTCCCTTTTTCCAGACTCTCCAAGCAGCTTCCTGCACCTGCGTGGCTGATGACAAGATCTGCTTGCTGAAGGTCTTCCTTAAAAGAATCCTTGTACCTGTAAACATCCAGAGTGAATGAATCACTACTGAATGATTCAGGGACCAATGTGCCTCTACCAATCTGGAGGACAAGTCGTTTATAACCGAGACTCTTAAGGATCCGGAGGCTGTCGTTAGTGACCACACTCTCGATGAGGTCGTCGAAACTGGTGGTCCCAACAGTCACAAGCGCACTTTTCATCGCACGGGTTCAAGATTCAGAATTCCTGGAGCGGATGTCTCAATTTTCTATTCTATGCTTTATTGTTCTCCAAATGCTTTTGGCAACAGGTAGGTTACTGAATGCACATGCTAATTCTAGATATTCTCAGTCACTCAAATATTTCAGAAATAAAACAACGGTGCTATGGCCATAACCTAGTTGATTTCCCAGAGGAGAGGAAAAGCAGGACCTCCGAGTCTCTGTCATATATGTGACATTCAAATGAATCATTCCTCCTGCAGATACTGTAGTACTTCAAATCTGAAACATGGATGTCACCATGTTAAAAATAAGCATAACTAACAGAAACAGATTAAAGAATATTATTAATTATTGTTTGTTTTTGATTTGCTGTTGTGGTGTTATATTTTGTGAATTTCTCCAGCTGTTTCTATTGGCTTTAGGTAAGGTTTGATTACCTATTACCTATGATTTGGGAGCATAATTGCCTTGCATAAGTTATAGTTCTCCCTTTTCGACTTTCTGTAGGGCTCCATTACTAGATATGTATTCCTTAAATCTGGTTTTGTAGTTATTGAACTCTTTGCTATATATAGTAGTCTTGGTTGGCATCAGTGGTCATTAGAGTTGGTCGAATATCTTTTCAGGACCACTTGTCTTTCAGTGTTCTCATGTTGGAGTCAGGTGTGATTCTGATAGATTTGCATTTATATACTTGGCAGTTTTTCTGTTTCCTTTGATACTCATAATATTCTTAGTTTATTTAGTTATGCCTTGGGTTTTTATTATAATGTGGCAAGGGAACTTTTTTGTGATCCAATCTATTTGGTGTTCTGTAGGCTTCCTGTAATTTCATTGTCATGTCTTACTTTAGTTTGGAAAATTTTTTTCCATTATTTTGCTGACTATGTTTGTTTTATTCTTCCATTTCTTTAAAAATTTTTCTCATTTTTTTTCTTTTGGGTCTCTCTCATCTTAAAGAAGTTGTGTTAAGTTCTTTCACTTCTGCATCATATGTGTTGTGGTGTTCAGATCACGCTCGTTTGAAGTCCATAAATTCTGGTGGTATCATATTGTTTTTATTCGGTCATTGAATTTGTGCTTATATTGATATTTTCCCATCCCTTCTTACAGTGGGTTCATGTGGAATCTTTTACATTCCTTTTCGTCATGGATCCAAGGTTCTCTTCTGGTGGGTGCATGCAGGTTCAATATATTGAAGGGTCTTACAGTGTGTATAAACAAGTCTGAGGCACTTCCTCTGCCTCAATGGGAGAGTGGAGTTAATGAAGTCCATAGGCCAGGAGATCCCAGAGAGCATAACTGGAATGACTCAGGAACACAAATTGGGAGCATGAAGCCATCTTCCACTGCAGGTGGGATTGCCAACTCATATAGATATTTAGGAAATCAGTATGGAGTTTCCTCAGGGAAATGGGAATCAGTCAAACACAAGATCAAGCAATTACACACAAAAGCATATACACAAAGATCCACATTCACACAACAAGGACACCTGTTACACTAGGTACATATCAGCATTATTTCTAGTAGCCAGAATCTAAAAACAACCTATATCTGCCTCAATTCAAGACTGGATGGAGGAATTGTGGTGGCTTTATACAAAAGAATACTCCTCAGCAGGAAAAAAGCAGTGAGATCTTGAAATAAGGAGGCAAATGGATAATATTAGAAGAAACCATCCTAAGTGAAGTTAACCAGGCACAAAAAGACAAACATGGTATTTAATGACACAATTTGGCATTGAGACATGTAACAAGTTAAGGCCAGTCTACAATCCCATTGCCAGAGATTCTTGGAAACAAGGTGTACCTTAAGAGAGGTTTGCAAGGTCCCCAAGAGAAGGGGAACAAAACTGAGTCCCCAGTGGGTTTTGGTATCATTGGCGTGAGGATGACTTTGACTCTGAGTGAAACAGAGGGGTGAAGAGGATGGGAGCAGAGGACATGAGAGAGTCAGAAATTTTAATCAAGTGAACAATAAATGAGGGAAGGATGAGAAATACTATGATAGAGTGAGTCATTATAAGTTTGAGGAGAGATCTGGCCCTAGTGAATTTTCCAGTGATCTCAAATGTTGACACCAACTTGAAAATTAAGTCACATTTGAGAGTCAACCTTAAATGCCATTCCCTTATACTGTGTTGGAAGATGACCTTATATGCCATCTTATAGCTATGTCGCAGTGATTGATGGGAGCAGAGGCAGATACCCAATGCTAAGAACTGAAATGAACACATGGATCCTAGCTGCAGAGCAGGAGGAGTAAGGAACAAAGAGTCAAGTCCTGGCTGGTAAAATGCACAAAGCTGCAGATCTGAAAAAGGCATATTGATTGCAAGCCACTGCACAAAGTGTAAAGTAAGGAGTCCTTGGAAGTAGATCAGGATTTTGGGTGCCCATTTCAAATGGAGGTATTCTCTCTCATCCTGGACCCATTGAGGAGGCCTAGGCCCTACCCTGGATGATATAACAGACATTGAAGATTGTCCATTATGGTTCTCACACTGGCTAGATGGTAGACTGTGGATGGAGAGAGGTTGGCTGGTTGGTGAGGGATGTGGTTTGAGGTTAAGTTGAGGTTGCTGTGATTCACAAGTCTAGCAAGCTTGTTTCTAATACAAATATAATAAAGATTGAAAAATGTTTCTCATTGAAATCTGTCATTCGTGTAAATGGTACTAGGCAGTTGATTCTACACAGTAAATATTGAAATGGGTACAGTCAAATACATTTCATCAAAACAAACAAATTTTGGGGGTTATGTGTTGCTTGAGCTTACTTTTCAGATGGAATTACACCATCACTTTAACATTTTTACTTTTAACCCAAATGCTTGACTACTAAATAATATTCATTCCCAACTTCAAGGTACTTTGTCCTTATTCTATTTATGTAATACTCTATATTATACTTTACCTTGCATATTGGTGTGACAAGTATCTGTTCTTGAAATATATTAATATGTTACATTGAGATAAATAATTATACAAATGAGGAAGATAAATCAATAATTAGATTTATATTCAGCATTATATTAAAAGAACATATTAATATGTGATTTACATTGCTCTTAATATTTGAATGGTGTAGCTCATTAAAGGCATGGAAAGAACCTAAAATATTCCAATGAAAATTCAGAATAACCTACTCTTTGCTATCCTGAAATTTTTCTTGCAATATTACAAATCTGTATACTCAAGAATCAGGATTGTATTTTCCTCATATGGATGCACTGTGAGGAATAAACCTATTGAATATATGCTATCAGAACAAAGATTTTTCTGTTGTAGACAGTAGTGGAGTGCATAGAGTTATGCCTAAGTTTCCATATATTGTCAACATGAACCCTGAAAATCCTTTGTATTGCGGAATATAAAACAGTGAGGTTGCCATTGTCTATGAGAGATTGTATACAATTCCATGCTATATGATGGTGTTTGCATGTAGTACATTCCTAAACAATCATTGTTTATGTAATTGGTTCAGAGGTGACTGTACAATTCACATGAAAGTTTCCAATATTTCTCCTGTAATGTCAGACACTCAAAAATTCTTTAATAAAAACACAATATAATTACAATACTCACAATGGAAGACCCTGGATATAGTAAACATCAGGACTTCTTGGTGTATGCCAGTTTCTAAGTCCTCAATTACTATTCTTAATGTGGGAACTGTACAAGTTCAACTGTCTCAACCATTGTTCACAGTTTTCAAAGAAGGAATAACACTGCATATATCAAAAATAGATAGTTGTATAAGTTTTGGTAAATATATGGGTCTTCCTTATTTTCAGTAGCAATTTAGATTTAGAATGTAAGCAGAGAATACCAGGAAGGAATCTGCAAATATATCCACATATTATCAATAAATACACTCTCTGAGGGTCTGTGTCCATTTAAGTTTTTCCAGGCTATGTAAATGAAATCCTCAGTCTCTGCCTTCTGCTGTCTGATTATGTTTCAGTGCTGCCAGTTAGAGCTAGCATGCAATGATTTTTATGTTATGTCAGAATCCCCAGTAGCACATATTTGTGGCACCTGACACCTGAATTTCAAAGATTCAGAGATGGCTGAGTTTGAATTCCATCAAACACATGCTTTTTTGTTGTATCATCCAAGGGCAAATTTGAAATACATGAGCCTGGTTGCTGTCAAAAATTGAATTAAAATAAATCTTGAACACACTGCAGGATTCCATACTGAGTGAGAAATCACAGGTACTAAGGTAGAATCTGTGGCTCCAGAAACAGGGGCACCTTTCTTTCCCATAAACAAGAGCAGTCAATATTGGCCAGATTATGGAAAGTGCAACCAATAACCAACCCTGTTCTAGGTTTTTATTGGAATTCGCAGAGTCTCAGATTGCTAACTAAAGATTTTCCAAAATATAGTCATGAACACTATATCCTCCAAGGGCAAATTTGAGCAATGCAAATCCAGTTTCTGATTTAAAACTTATTTTTTGCACACACTGCAGGATCCATGTTGGTGCCAGAAATCACAGATACTTTGGTAGAATCTGTGGCCTCAGAGACATGCAAAATTTTCCACCCTAGCTAACAGTTGAATTTACCCTATTCTAGGTTTTAATTGCCGTGGTCTCTTGCAGGTCTTCTGGACAGTTTCTTTCTCTGTGGTTGTTTACATTTAGGCTTTAATTAAATCCAGCTAAGAGGTGGATGTCAGCCTGGAGACTGACTGAAAAATATCCTCCAGTTCTGAAGTTTGTTTTAGATGTGATTACCTCTTATTGGAGGAAGGCATGCATTCAGAGATATATTAGGAACAAATCAGGAGAGAGATATCAAACACATGAAAGTAAACAAATGACAAAATTTCTTATAGATCTCCAACAGAGATAATGATTCACCCCTCTCTCCCTCCTCCCAGTTTGTGTAAATGCAGCAGAGGAATTCAATGGGTATCACAGCATGAAATATATTTGAACACATTTTTTTCTCTATTTAGCACTAGACAGCAGACAGCACTGTGTAATTATTGTTGGATGCTGGGCAAATTTGTAGCCGCTTTTCCCTGGGTCTTTGAGTTGTTTGTCAGGTCCATCCTGTTTTCTACTCCTAGCTTACTGCCACCGCATTGCCCCACTGACCTCATCATCTAGCATGAGAAACCATGCTCTCTTCCACCTGTTGTTTTTCCACTTGAAATAAAGACACACACAAACCAACTCCTGGCAATAAGTGCATCACATTAATTCTCTGAGTACAAAAAGCTGGATGTATTGTCTTTCTTTTCCTGATACCTGGATTTGCTTGTGGCATGGACACGACCATAGTAGGTACCAGCAAGATACAGAGAGTCTTGGGATGACTGCGAAAGATTGGCCAGAAGGAAGATTCAGGAGAGGAGAGACTTGAGAATGAAAAGAATTGAAAACAGGTACCACATCTTATAACAGTATAATTGAATGGTCCAATCTCCAGACTTTTGCTTAAGAGACCACCTTCCAAGGAGAAGCTTGTATCCAATTAATTTCCGAGCTTCGACATTCCTTGAGGTCACGAAAAAAGAGGACAACTGAGAGATTGCCCTCAGATGAAGGTTGTATTGAATTAATCTCCAGCATTTCACCTGATCCACTGAGGTCAGAAAAATAAAGGGAAATTGAGATATTGCCATCAAAGGCTGACCAGCAAGTATAGCTGTGAGGATCTATTGGAAAGGGGTACTAAATTATGTGTACAAGGTTAAGTTTCCAGTTTGGTACCTAAACAATGTATAATAATTGTGCATTTATTTCTGCACTTAGAAAGTATAGAGATAAGAGTACTCACATGCAAATCAAATAGGGGTTGTATGCAGATGTTCATAAAGACTAAAAGATTCATGATAGACACCTTGTGAAAACGATTGTACCTGACTATCCTAGCAGGGCAAGCAAAATGAAAGAGAATCCTGGGAACATTTCTCTGTGTTCAGAAACTCTATGATGCCAGTATGCCTGGTTATGAAAAATGAAAACTGAGACTACAGCGTACAATTACAAATTTCCAAATGAACCTCCTGTTTACCAAGATGTCTAAGTATCTGTCCATAGAACCACACTAAAATAAAAATTGCATCATTAAAATTACCCAAACACTATATTGCTCATCACTTTTAGATCATTGTATCATTATTTCTCTCTAGAAATTGAATGGACCTCTGACATAGTACAATTTAAATATGATATTGTAAATACTGTATCTTATACATACTTAAATCATGTATTTAACTGACTGAGTGTGAAATTTTCATTAAAATAATTGATCCGGATATGCAACTATGAAATAATATATAAATATATATGTACACACACACTCAAAACACATACATATATATCATGCAAGTTCCTTCCTTAATCTATGTGTGTTTTCAAGGTACCTGGTAAATAATCATAAAACAGCAAAAAATGTGTTACTTAACTTATTTAGCTTTGGAGTAATTGCAAGTAGTAGAGAGAAAATAATGGTAAATTCATTGTTTCCTATTACCAACTATAACTTATCTCATAAAAAAATCAGAGGGCCTATATTTTATTGTGAAATTGTGTTGTTCTGCTCTCTTCCTCTCACCACATGAGGGTTTGTAGATTCATTAGTAAAAGGGCTATCATGAGACTTAATAAGAAAAAGTTTGTGATATCATAACTGAATACACAGTATCACAATTATAGAGGCAGTTATATTCTGAGTTCTAACTGTAAGTTGGAATTTCACATATGTAATTTAAACATTGTTGCTTCATTAAAATTATCACAGCTTCTTATTCTGCACATAAACTTTGAATCAGACATTGTGATACCTTCTGTATCACAGGTAAGTTCCCTCCTTTTATTAAGTGCAGATAAAGTATATTCATTCCAATAATTTCTTGCTTGTACATAACAATTCACTGTTTATATTCTGCCAAATGCACATGGTATATTATCTCATCCTATATATTAAGACAGCTGTAGATCATGGCTAATATGATTTATAAAAGTCAACATCAACTCTGCAAATTCAACTTCCATGATGTTGTATGTCTTATTCAGGTACAGGCTTGAGAATTGAAGATAAGCTCTAAGCCATGAAATGTTATGTATGCATCTTCAATTAAATAAAAGGTATTACATAGGGAGTGTGTATGGTAAATTACAAAACGGAGTGTGTAATATCCATTTATACTTTGTGAATTTATGTCACTGTGAGTGGTTCATTCCAGAAGGCCAGTGAGTGAGAAGTCATCTCGTTAAGTATAAGTGGAAGAAGCATCTGAGTGGTTGCTGGGAAGAATGGATGATTCATAGTATTATCAGAAGTAAAATGTAGATGAATTTGCTTTACTGAAATTAAGGACAAATCCAAAACCAGAGGCTACAGAAGCAATATGATTTAATGCTCAGTGCTTATTCATGGCAGTCATCCTCTTCTTCCATCTGTCACTGAATTAAGGTTCTGTATCCCAGTCTCTCTGGAGATGGGATTGTAGGCTGGCACTCCCCAGATCTAGGTCTAAAACCCATGCATGACAGAGGACATGCCATGTTTCTCTTTTTGTAACTGGGTAACCTCGCTCTGGATGGTTTCTTCCAGTTCTATCAATTTGCCTGCAAATTTCAGGATTCCATTGTTTTTTTTATGCTGAATAGTACTTCATTGTGTAAATGTACCATATTTTCTCTATCACTCTTCGGTTGAGGGACATCTAGCTTGTTTCCAAGTCCTGCCTATAACAAATAATGCTGCTATATACATAGTGGAACAGATATCCTTGTTGTGTGAATGGGCATCATTTAGATATATGCCTAAGAGTGGCATTGCGGGTTCTTGTGGTAGGTTTATCCCATTTTCCTGAGGAATCTACATACTGATTTCCGAAGTGGATGAACAAGTTAGCACTCCCACCAGCAATGGAGGAATGTGCCCCATTTACCACATCTTTGTAGCATAAATTGTTGTTGCTGTTTTTGATTTTAGCCATTCTGAAAAGAGTAAGTTGGTTTCTCAGAATTGTTTTCATATGCATTTCATGGATGCCTGGGATTTTTAGCACTTTCTCAAGTGCTTCTCAGCCATTTCAAACTCCTGTATTGACAATTCTCTATTAAGTTCTGTAGCCCACTTTTTAATTTGATCTTTTGACATTTTTGAGACTTGCTTCTTGAGTTCATTGTAAATTTTGGAGATAAGCCCTCTGTCAGATGTGGGGTTAGTGAGTAGTTTTTCCAATTCTGTGGGCTGTCTTTTTTTCTTGCTGACTGTCGTTTGCGTTACAAAAGCTTTTCAGTTTCAGGAGATCCCAATTATTAATTGTTGATCTCACTGTCTGTGCTACCTGTTGTATGTTCAGGAAGCTGTCTCCTGTACCAATTCATTTTAGGGTACTACACAATTTCGCTTCTAAGAGGTTTAGTGTGGCTCGCTTTATGTTGAGGTCTTTTATCCATTTGGGCTTAAGTTTTGTGCACGGCGAAAGACAAAGATTAATCCACATTCTTCCACATGCCCTCCTCCAGTTATGCCAACACCATTTGTTGAAGATGCTTTCATTTTTCCTTTGTATATTTTCAGCTTCTTTGTCAGAGATAAGTTGTTCTTACATGTGTGGTCATTATCAGGGTTTTCAAATCGATTCCATTGGTCTACGTGTCTAATTTTCTTTCTTTTATAATTTGTATTTTAATTTTAAATAGCTTGTTTTACATGTAAATCCCAGTTCCCTCTCCCTCCCCTCCTCTCACACTCCCCTTCCCCCCCAGCCTCCCACACTATTGCCAAATCCTTCCACATAGGGGATATCTAGAGTCTGTCATTTCACTCTGGGTAGGGTCTAGGCACTCCCCTAAGAGTCCAGACTGAGGGAGCATCCCTCTTTCTGCTATGGGCACACGATAACTGTACTCCAGGGATAGACACTGATCCACAGCTCAGGTCCCCATAGGTTTCCCAGGCCTTCTCACTGACACTCACCTTTGGGGAGGCCAAATCAGTCCAATGCTGGCCTCCCTGATGTCAGTCTGGGGTTCAAGAGCTCTCCCCTGTTCAGATCAGCTGTCTCTGCTGGTTTTGTGCCAATACCAAGCTGTTTTCAGGACTATAGTTCTATAATAGTGCTTCAAGTCGGGGATGGTGAGGCCTCTGTACATTGCCTTGTTGAACAGGGTTGTTTTAGCTATCCTGGGTCTTTGATTTTCCACACAAAATTGATCATTGTTCTTTCAAGGTCTGTGAAGAATTGTAGTGGGAATTTAATGAGGATTCCATTGAATCTGTACATTGCTTTTGGCAGGATTGCAATTTTTCTACATTGATCCATGCTATCCAAGACCATGGGAGATCTATCCATATTCTGAGGCCTTCTTGACTTGTGAAGCAACCTTGTTTCTTATCTAAATTTAAACTGGAAAATAAAATTTAAAAAAAAGATTCAAACTTCTTGTATTATAGGTCTTTAACTTGTTTGCTTAGCATTACCCTAAGGTATTTTATGTTGTTTTTTGCCAGTGTAAAGTGTGATGATTCTCTGATTTTTTTCTCTGCCCTTTCATCATCTGTTTATAGTTGGGATACTAATTTTACTGTGTGATCTTTTAGCCAGCCACTTTGCTAAAGGTGTTAATCAGCTCTAAGTGTTCCCAGGTAGAGTTCTTTGTATCATTTATGTAAACTATCACATCATCTGCAAATAGTGAAAGTATGAGCTCTTCCTTTCCAATTTGTGTCCACTTGATCTCCTTTTGTTGTCACATGGCTCTGGTTACAAACTAAAGTACAATATTGAGAATGTATGGAGAGAGTGGACAGCCTTGTCTTGTTCTTGATTTCAGAGGAATTGCATTGAGTTTCTGTCCATTTAGTTTGCTGCTGCCTGTTGGTTTGCTGTATATAGATTTTATTATGTTTAGGTATGTTTCTGTTATCCAAGGTCTCTCCAAGACCTTTGTCATGTAGGGTTGTTGGATATTGTCAAAGGCTTTTTCAGCATCTAGTGAGATGATCATGTGATTTTTGTTTTTCAGCTTTTTTATATAGTGTATTACATTGATGGATTTTTGTATTTTGAAACATCCCTGCATGTATACATAAATGAAATGGTATGGCAGACTTCTTCCTCAATATAACACTAGTAGCTGAGACACTGATAAAAACAATTAGTAAATGGTACCTGCTAAAACTGAGAAGCTTTTGTAAGGGAAGGAATATAGTCAACAAGGCAAAATTACAGAACACAGAATGGGGAAATATATTCACCCACCCCACATTCAACAGAGTTTTGATCTTAAAAATAAGTCAAGTAGCAAGACTACAAAACACCAAATGATTCACTTAAAAAGTGGTGTACAGAATTAAATAGAGAATTCTTTATATATGAGTCTAAAATGACTGATAAACTCTTAAGAAAATGTCCAGCATACTTAGTCATCACTGAAATGTAAATCAAAACAACTCTGGGATACAATCTTACTCTTGTTCAGAATGGCTAAAATTAAAAAAAAATGACAGTTTATGCTAGAAAGTATGTGGAGCAAGTGGAGCATTGTGCCACTGCTAATGGCATTGTCACTTTATGCAGACACTTTGGAAATCAGGATAAAGTCTCATCAGGAAAATGAGAATGAGTCTACCACATGATCCAACAATTTGTTTGTCAGAAAAACATATGGTAATATATTAAATTTATAAAACATCACATACAGTGTCTACACATTGTTCTTGTTGCATTAGTATCTAAAATTAATGTAAGAACAGTTTATAAACAGTGATTAAATTTTAAAGCATACATTCTCAAAATAAAATAGGTTGGTTATTCTCAAGTTCATAATAAGATGAAGTATGAGCCTGCATGACACTGTGTGTGCGAGTGTGTTTTTGTATAATTATAATAGTATGCAAAACTTCAGAAAAAGCACAGATGTAAATAAGGACATGAGAACAACACTCAGTTAATAAATTCAAGCTACAGGGACACTAGATTCATTATGAAAATATACTTATTTAGTAAATATGTTTCCTTAGTTAATAAGGAATAATTTTATTATCACCTTGAATGTATTTTTGCCACTCTTGATAGAGTTAAAGCAGCCAGATATCATACACGTGCTGTAAAGTATACTGAAAAGCAATATTCTGAATTTTTAACTGGGAGAGTATGAAAACAACAAGAAATTTCAAACATGCATGCTTCAGTTATCTCAAAATAATATAATTTATACTGAATAACAAAATTTATTCTGGTAAATACTGGGAAATTAGAATAACATATGCATCATGACTTCTTTAATCATTGCATCAAGCAATAAATTTTATGTCCACTGATTAAATTATATATCAGCATATATTAAGTACTACATAATATTAACCTTTCCCAAAGAGGTATGTGATTTGTATCAACATCCAACTTTCAAAAAAACAGTGATAAAAGATAAATGTATTTTCATTATGACAAGTCCTATATGCGTACATGTTTTCTTGTTCATATCCATTTCCTGGACACACCTTGAGTTTCCCTTGCTTAGTAAATCTACCACTCACCACATCTAATTTTAAGTATTTTATTATTATAAAGTAAAAAAAACATTTATATTAGCCCTATGTACTCTTGTTTTGTCATATTCTTAGGCATGGATAACCATTCATTGTATGATTTCTACCACTCCAGAAACACAAAGTGAAACATTCTCACCAAGTAGCTGACACGAATTTTAGTTTCACATATGGGGACTTCATGAATTAACAAGAAAATTCCCCTTGCAAGTAAGATCTATACTTTCTGAATATGTATCATAGTACTGGAAATATTTTTATTCTTTTTGCATGTATTATTCATGCACAGTAATGGGTCATGTCTATGTAAATTTTTAAACATATGAAATGAATTTGTACCATTTATTCTACATTATACTCTACTGTTCTCCCACCCCTAATGATCATTCTCCTCTTCCCAACTAGTCCTCTCCTACTTTGATGCCTTTGTATGCATGTGCTTTAATGAGTTTTCTTCAGGTTGTTCACTGGGTCATTGGTAAACTTTTGTTGATAAGAGCATGCCCATGCCAAAATATGTGATGCTCTCTCAGCCAGGACTCTCGGGGAAGGGCCTAGGCTGAGTTCTGGATTAAATGACTGTTACTGGGTGCCTCACCCTCCTTGGGGATCAAACTTGAGATTGGGTGGGGGGCTGGGGGGTCTAGTGGGGTGGGCAGGAGAGAAGGGGAAGGAGAGGGATTTGGGATTGATATGTGAAACAAAAAAATATATTGATGCAAAGTGTAAAAAAATGAAAGAGATCATGAATTTTGGAGGGGAACATGCTCTGGGGAGCGGGCAAATGTTGGAAGGAATAGAAATTCACAGTATACAAGTACTCAATTTCCAAAGAAGATGATGGAAATATTTTAAAAGTTTCTGATGGAGAAGAGACATTAGTAAATACTGTCCTGGGCCATGGCTTCTAACACTGAAAATGCCAGTGTAAAATATATTTCCTTATATGTATTTTAGCACTTGTTAGCGTGTCATAGAAAACAAGCTATTATTTGGGCTTCTGTGA